TTCTTCTCTCTCTCTCTCTCTCTATATATATATATATATATATATATATATATATATACCCTTAATTAATCTTCATAATTTGTGTTAAAATAATTATATTTGATGTTAGGTCCAATTGTATACTAGCATAGCATGTGAGTTGCTTAAAATTTGGAACCATATTATAGTGGTTAGATTATCCAAATGTAGAATGAGGGATTCCATGATGTATCATGAGTTGTCAGAGAAATTAGTTGAAGATTGAACCAATAACAAAATGCAAGTGACACCTTGTTTTCTAGTTACTACAAATAAACCAATAATCATTCACTATTTTATATTTTTTTTATGATAGAGGGAATGTTAAATCGATTTGTGTATATCTTGTCAATTACAATAAATACATAATGTACATATATCCTAATGAAAAATTAACAATTCATACATTTCAAATATGAAATTGGATAAAATTGTGTATGATTTGGTAAACATAACCAAATTATTCCATGTGAAATTAGGTCTTAGGTCTAACTCATCTCATTCACCACCGATGGGGGACTTTTTGTCATTCTTTAACACCCCACCTCACGCCCAGTGCTTAGCATCTGGTGCATGGGCAATTTGCCTCATGCCTTATAAAGAGTCCACCCATATCATTTTCCATCCATATCATTAATCACCGATGTGAGACTTTTGTCATTCTTTAACACCCCACCTCACGCACCAGCAATTAGAATTTTGGGGACCCCAACATCAGGTGAGACGGACCTTGCTCTGATACCATGTGAAATTAGGTCTTAGGCCTAACTCACACCCCAAAAGCTAGCTCAAAGGGAGAAGAATTGTCCAAGCCTTATAAGGAGTTCACCCTTCTCATTCACCACCGATATGAGACTTTTTGTCATTTTTTAACATTTCCAACATATATATCAAATAATTCAATCTATCAAAATTTAGATAAATAAAAAGTTTGAACGTAATATTTCTATGTTAATAAACTCTAATATTCCATAATATTTACTCATTTCTTTACAACTAAATCACCCTTGTATTGTGCATTTTCCATGTTTTTATTCGAGTTTGTATAGCATGAGAGCTTACATTTCTTAGGCAGTAATTTACCCACTTACTAGAAAGCTCCGTAGCATAATTTATTATATCTAAATTTCATTCACTGACAATATTAAGATTTTTAATTGCATACTCTATTTCTGTAGTCATCTTTTAAGGAATTTTATTTTAGTCATAGCTCATTTAAATTTTAATAGGTCAAATTTAAACCTATTTCACCTCATCAGTTTCTTTTATCATCTTTAAAAACTATAATTTCTCAATAAATTCGATAACAATATTTAATCAGTTCCTCTATATATTTTTTGAAAGTACCCAGACTCAATATTTGAATATTAAAAACTACACATAGTTTGATCAATAATATTCTATTTTATGTTTAATACTGTTGTTTCAATTTGAGTATTGTGGTTTAGAATTGAATATTTAAGTTTTTTTAAACGTTGTATTTTTTTTTAATAAAAAAAATAATCTAATTGTGGTTTGAATACTTTTTTTTTTGGTTAATAGAAACACTACAGTTTTGAATTGAATATAATATTTCTAAAACTGAATATTGTCATCTTGAATTGAATATTGTAGTGTGTTCTAATATGGATTTAGAAAATTAATTTCCAAACGAATCGAGAAAGTGGAGTAATGATGGCATAGGTTACATTCATCTATTTTTAGGGAATCAGTTATTATTTAATGCTAAAGTTTAGAAATATTAATACTCATACTAAAATCATGCTACCATAGTTTCTCTTTTCTTTAAAAATACGCTAGATATAGGATGTGAACATTTGTAAGATTCTCTATGTAATAATAATTACTACGTACCTGAAAAAGTTGTATTATGATATAAACTTAAACTATCCTAATCGTTTCACAATAGTAGTAAAGTTATCTTCGTATGATTTATTTCACTTGTGTCAAGTTGTATGATATTTACTTAAACTATCCTAATCGTTTCTCAATAGTAGTAAAGTTTCTCAATAGTAGTAAAGTTATCTTCATATAATTTATTTCACTTGTGTCTGCCAACACCATGCCTCAAAGAGTGTGACTCTTTACCGGACCATGCATTATGCATAAACGCGAGATGCTTTGTGATACTTTTTTTGGTTTTTAGGAGAAATTAGAAAGGAAGGTACTCAAATCTAAGCAAGCTGAAGAAGCAGATGGATCATAGAAGTATATAAAACCTCAAGGTGAAACCTAGAGGTTGGAGACAGAAAGTAAAAAAACCACCTTAGACTAATCATTAGATCTAGATATGAAGAAGGTGTTTATTTTAATGGTTAAACTAAACACATGGTCATCATTTTTCTTTTTTTCCAACACCCCCCACTTTACCTTCTATCATTTGGATGTGTTAGTTAATCAATTACAAGAAATCCAACTACTTCATGTTCCCTTTTGTCACTTTGCACCCTTCACAACAAGCAAGGAATAAAAGATCAATCATCAAAAATCCAAGTTTTCTAGCTTAGCTTAACTTTAACAAAGTAAAAAAGAAATAAAAAAAAGATAGATAGATACACTTTAATTGAGAAAAATGCAAATGTTTTTTTTAATTTTTGGCTACTCATATTTCAAAGTATCAACATTCTACATATGAATGCCTCCTATTATATCATGGCTTATCAACAAGACAAAACATTACAATTTGGAAATTGGTGATATAGCATGATGGAACCTTATGTAGTGACTCCCAATTATTGATATGATCATATGAAACAGGGAAATCTACATACAAAAAAAGAATTGGAGAATAGGTACCAACCAAACCAACTTGTGGAAACAAGAAATTTCACACCCAAACAGTCCCTTAAAACTAATAAGCAAAGATAAAAACTTTTTTTTTCTTTCTACCAAGACTTACTATTTCAAAGCAAATCCCAATTGAATCGAGGTTGAGCATAGGAAGCATGATTGTTATTATTACTTGGCGTCGTGGTTGAGTCATGATCCAGTAATGGCCCTGGTGCGGGATCAAATGTTTCCCACTGTGTAGTTATCACAACAGAACCCGAGGCTGAGTGCCTGGATGGCTCCTGATGTTTCGCTGGTGTAGGCGAATTGGCGAATGAACGCCTGCTGCCGTTCTGGTTTTGAACAGGGGATGATGCTTGATCGTTGGAATACCTACGCTGATGCTGCTGAGGAGATGGGGAGGATTCTTGTTTCGGAATATGGTTCCCGCTTCTTGATGGTGCTGAATTTTTCATCTTCAACACATCTAGTGTTTCAACGTATTTTTGTACTCTTTTCACCTGTGAAAAAACAGATACTATATATTTTTAGTCCATCTCTAAAGCAACGAAATCGCTCTGATAGTGCACAAAATTACCTGCATTTTCCTCTGCAATTTAACATCACCTTCAGCTACAATTCCATCCAATTTAAGCAATTGATTCATCAATAACTCAATCACTTTAACCAAATCCTTCTCTACAACTTTCGCACCTTTTGAAATTATCGATTCGAACGCAGACACCTAACCAATCCAAACCGTAAATATAAGCTTTACGCGAATATCTTATCTATCTCTAAGCCTAAACCAATAAAATGAAATACTTATATACACCGACAATACAAAAAAATTGAATTTTTACCTGTCCAGCAAGCCTATCAACTTCAAAACTGATGTCTGCTATAGTTTTAGCAGCCTTCTCCATCTTAGCATTCTTTCTCAACTCAAGGTACCGTTTCTCTTGGCAAAGTGGATCTTCAACTACAACAATCTTCGACTTATCTTTAACACCGGAAATATCAAGGAAAGCATTGTTGTCTCTTTCTTTGTCTTTGTATAATAACTTCTGATCTTGGTGGTGCAGCCCTGTCGGCCCCGTTAACATCTTCTTCAATTCACCTTCAATTCCATAACAATAATAAATAAATTCAACTATGAAAAGAAAAAAAAACTTCTTTATTCTTTTTTTGGTTTGACTTACCAAAAGTTGCTTGAGGACTGATATTGATTTCATGGTAAATTGACCCATACTTAACCCGGACCCGAATCGGAGGTGGAGGAGGACGGTTTTCCGCATCCGGGTTACGCTTCTGAACCAACATTCCACCGGGTCGGACTTCCCATTCGTTGTCGGCAGCAGCACGGTCTCTACCGCCGGCCGAATTATCGTTCATCATCGGTGGCATAGCGGTGGTTTTGGTCTTCATTCGCATCATTTTTTTAATTTTTTTTTGGTAATGGTAAAACAGAGGATTATTACGAAGAAATTAAATTTTAAAAATATTTGCTGACGTTGAATTTTTCAGAAATTAGATCAAACCATTGACTTCACAGTACATATCCATTTATCTTTTTCCCAAATCCAAAACCAGTTAGAAAAACAGAGCTTTAAGCATTAAGAGGAACGCCACGCGTGAAGAAAAGAAAGGAACAGCAAAACACCAGACGCACTGCTGCCAAACTTTCCAGCTATTATCACTTGTCTATTAACCGAAAGAATCAATAACAAAGATAAAAAGAAATAACCGGGGAATCAAGAAAACTCTGTCGGCGACCCGCCGATAAATGCAGTAGAAAAAGTAGACAAAACAAAAATGGTAGATCTCGTTAAAGAATCAAATGGATAAGCACCAAAATTGAAACTATCGGTACAAAAAATCGCAAAATAAACCGATTGAAAAAATTGATAACAATGAATTTTAGTATCAATGTTGAAAACTTGAAATAGATCAAGAAACAAAAAAAAACTAATATTTTTCTCTCTTTTGATTGGTTGTTTTTTTGATTTTTTTTTTTGTTGTGTGTGTGTGGAGA